CAAAATGAGACACCCAAAAGTATGTCTCCCTTTCCTTCCTTGGGAATAGCATGATGCTTACCTGAACACAAGGTTGCCAATTTAAATAGATCAAGTTCTGATTCAATATCAACTGCAAACAAAATCTTATGAACAATAAAATCATTTGAGATGAAACTGATATGTTCCTTGTGGTCAATCCTTATAGGTAGTCCGAGTGGCCTATGTGACCTCCAAAGAAGCCAGCCACTTCAGCCTGAGAGACAAGACTCAAGAGTGCATTCCTACAGAGCTAGTCTAATCCAAGGATATAAAACGCATCATATAATGACCCTAAGATGAGCTCCCAGAAGGAAGTAAAAGCCAAGATGAAGTGATCTTTCCATCATTAGCAACATACACAAAAGGAACATACACAGAAAGAAGAAGAGCTCTATAAAGTTTGTATCATGAAATCAGGTAGAATTTGTGATAATTGGGTGACAAATTAGGGTGAAAATCAAACATGAATATCCTGGATGTTTTCCACTCTTCATCCAAAAACTCTAAATTTATGCAAACTTTTTTGCATTTTGAAGATCATTTGAATCTCCTCTGCCCTTAAAAATGAACAGAGCTACCCAAGGTTAACTGAGCAGATGTTTTTAAGACATCCTTTATCACAGGAATCATGTTATGAAGTATAATAAAGACATTGCCACTTCACACTCATTAATATGGCTACTATCTAAAAACAATAATATGATAAAACAAAAAGCCTTGGCAAAGATGTAGAGAAACTGGAGCCCTTGTGCACTGCTGGCAGGACTGTAAAAGGGTACAACTATTATGGAAAACAGTATGGAGTTCCCTCAAAGTATTAAAAATAAGAATTATCATGAGTCTAGTAACCCCACTTCTCGATTTATATCCAAAATAATTGGAAGAAAAATCTCCAAGAGATAGTTGTACACACATGTTCAGTGCTGGACTAGTCACAAGAGCCAAGAGGTGGAAGCAACTGGTACCTCTGTGACTGGATGGATACATGAACTCTAAGTGTGTCCATATGATGGAATACTATCCAGCTCTAAAAAGAAAGGAAATCCCGTCACATACTTCTACATGCATAAATCTTTTTTTTAAGATTTATGTGGGGGTTTTTTGTTTGTTTGCTTGTAAGACAAAGCTACAGAGAGAGAGACCTGGATATCTTCCTCCATCCACTGGTTCATTCCCTAAATGGCCACAACAGTCAAGACTGAGCCAGGCTGAAGCCAAAGCCATGAACTCCATTCCAATCTTCCATGTGAGTGCAGGGGTCCAAGCACTTGGGCCACCGTCTGATGCCTTCCAGGGACATTAACAGGAAGCTGGATCAGGAGCAGAACAGCCAGGACTCAAGCCAGCACTCCAATATAAGATGCCAGTGTTGCAAGCTGGGCCCGCATGGATAAATATTAAGGACATAGTGCTAAATGAAATAAGAAAGGCACACAAGGACAAATACCCTATGACTACATTTTGATATCAGGTATCCAAAGTAGTGAAATTCACAGAAACAGAAAACAGAATGGTGATTACCAGGGGCTGGAAGGAGGGGAAATGAGGGAATTGTTTAATGGGTATAGAGTTTCAGATTAGCAAACTGAAAAAGTTGTGGAGATCTGTTTCACAACAATGTGAATACATTTCACTCTAGTGAACAGTATATTTAATATGATTAAGATGGTAAATTTTATGTCATGTATTTTTGTCATAACAAAAAAGAGAGAGGGAGAAAAGGAAAGCTATCACCAATACCTTTATTGACAATTACCACAGGAGAGGCAGGAAAGGTTCAGTGGGAGACTTCCTAACAAACAACAAATAAATGGGTGGGAGAAGGAACAGAGTTTTAAAGAGTCCATTTTGTCTGTGTTTCCCTGTGACTTAGGAGCTACTGGGGCTGCAGAGTGTAAAGTTAAAGACAGAGCTATAATAATTGTCCCAGAATATAAGAGCATTGCACAGACCCATGCCAGACCTCCTTTCTGCCTGCTCCAGGTCTCCTCTATCCTAAATGTCTTAGTAGATCTGCATCACCACAGACTCCCTCTCTCCTCCTTGGAATATCTCCTACCTGAACTTTCAAGGCAGAGTGTTTATACGATTTGACCCTGTCAGTGCCAAGTAGAAGACAAAGAAAATGCTGCACCCAGACACTGAAACACAAAAGTGGGTTGAGCCTGGAGGGAAACCTAGCAATTATGTGAGCCATCTATATGTTCTTTATTGAAACAAGGCAATGTTACAAAGCAATCGGGCAATAAAACCACAGGATAACCAAAAACTGAAAATAAGGCAAAACAACAGATCAGAACCTAGGAAACAGAGACCAGTAGTCTGGATCACAGCAGGAGCAGGCTCTCACACAGAGAGTATGACCGACAGAGGTTTCAGGACCCAGTCAGGTGGTCTAGGCAGCAGATCCAGAATCCCTGCCTCAGAATTTAACTCAGTGTCCTTGTCAGAAAGCTCCCCTAGGAAGAATAACAGGGATATTCCAAAGGTTCAAGAAAAACATCTGGGGCCAGCACTGTGGCGTGGTGGATGGAGGCGCCACCTGTGGTGCTGGCATCCCATATGGGCATCAGTTCAAGTCCCAGCTGCTCCACTTCAGATTCAGCTCTCTGCTATGGCCTGGGAAACCAGTAAAAGACAGCCCAAGTTTTTAGGCCCCTGCACCCACGTGGGAGACCCAGAAGAAGCTCCTGGCTCCTGGCTTAGGATTGATGCAGCACTGGACATTGCGGCCATCTGGGGAGTGAACCAGTGGACGAAAGACTGCACTCTCTCTTTCTATACCTCTGCCTCTCTGTAACTCTGCCTTTCAAATAAATAAATAAATCTTTTTTAAAAAGAACAGAAAAGAAAAACATTTAATATGGATTTAAAAAAAACTTTGCACCAAAAATAAACGTATTCTTTAATTTTATTTTCCACAAACATTTTAAAGTACCCTCATACAGACAGCTCCATACAAAAGCTCCCCTCCCCTCCTAGGCCCTGACTCAGGACTCAGCCAATATCTCACACTTGCTACTAACACAAAGAAAGGACATCCACTGCTGGTCTCTATCAGATACCATTGTACTGCAGACTTTATCTCTAGTACTATGGAAGATGTGAGTACCTGGAAACTCCATTACAGAACAGCTAGAAATACTAGATAAACATCACATTTTTTTTTTTTTGACAGGCAGAGTGGACAGTGAGAGAGACAGAGAGAAAGGTCTTCCTTTTGCCATTGGTTCACCCTCCAATGGCCGCCGCGGCCAGCGCGCTGCGGCCAGCGCACCATGCTGATCCGATGGCAGGAGCCAGGAGCCAGGTGCTTTTCCTGGTCTCCCATGGGGTGCAGGGCCCAAGCACCTGGGCCATCCTCCACTGCACTCCCGGGCCACAGCAGAGAGCTGGCCTGGAAGAGGGGCAACCGGGACAGAATCCGGCGCCCCAACCGGGACTAGAACCCGGTGTGGCGGCGCCGCAGGCGGAGGATTAGCCTAGTGAGCCGCGGCGCCGGCAACATCACATTATTTTAAACGTGTATCTGAACCCACCAAAAATACAAGGAGAAAGTTCCAGGGCCTAAAATGCAGAATGAACTGATTGACCCCAAGAACAGTAAAAACATGAGCCTTAGGGCCACTGCGCTGGTTTCAAAGGGATGGAGAGGTTACCAGTTTGCACTAACCAGGACTTGGGTTTTAACAGCTATGTAAGTGCAGAGAATGAATGCTACAGAGAAAATTTGCCATGCCAAGGTATCTCTCTTGGGTGCTTCTGGATGCCTCCTAGCCTCCTAGTCAAAACTAACACCAAATGTCTTCCCTGATCCTGAGGAAGACTGTGATGAATTGACTTGTCTCTCTGCTTCTTCTGCGTATGTTTCTCCCTATCAGAAAGCAGAGGACATTTAAGCCACTTAAGTTCAGTAACAGTTCCCAGAAAACCATGGAGTCCTCCAGCTTTGGAATACATCTCCTGTGTTCTCCGCCTGCACCATTCCAAAGGCATCTGGACTCTACAGCCCAAAAGACCTAAGCCCAGAAACTACCTTGTCTTTTAAAAAACAAAAGAAAAGTTGAGGACCGCTGTTGGGCCTAGTCGTTAGAACTCTGGTTAAGATTCCTTTGTCCCACATCAGAGAACCTGGTTTCAATTACAGGCTCCACTCCTGACTTCGGTTTCCTCCTCATGCAGGCCTTGGGTGGCAGTAATGATCACTCAAGTCACTGGTTTCCTGCCACCCATGTGGGAACCTGGGTTCCCAACTCACAGCCATCATTTCTCTCTCTCTCTCTCTCTCTCTCTCTCTCTCTCTCTTACTCTGTCTCTCTCTATATATATTAAATTTCAATTAAATTTTTAAAAAGAATTACACAATTCTTCCCTTTAGAAGGAATGAGCTTCTCCCTCCCCCCTACCACCACCTTTTTTTAAGTCAAATCTCCATAATGACAGCTTTGGTGATGGCTCCCTGAAGTCTGGGAGCAGCACCCGGAACAACTGGAAGTCTCAGGAAGTGACACCTATTGTAGGTCAGGAAGCCAGTAGGCACCTGGGAGGAACAAGGAGCACACAGTTACAGTAGTAACACAGGGTTCCTTATCAGTGCTGTTCTTTCTTTTCAAACAAGGAATTCCGTGTTCTCCTGAGAAGGTCAGTTAGCTCTGAGCTGACTCACTGAAATGCACCCAGAGTAGCTGTATATTCACCGGGAGACCCCCATTGGCATTGCAGGCTGTAAATTATGGTCATTCCTAAGAGGTAACAAGAGAGGTTCTTTCAGCTGTGCAATTACTTTGTTTTGGCAGGACACTTTGGAGTCAAGAAAACATTGGCTGGAGTTCAAGGCCAAGATTTTGGATCAGCTGCCACCATAATTTTTCAGAAATGTGATGACGGTTCCTCAAGAAATAGTTTCCTAAGCAGTCTGCAGGAATGTCTCCTGTACATGCTCGAAAGGGATTTAAAGAATGAAGCCCTTGGGGACCTACCAGTGCCGCTGAGTTAGCCTGGCTTTTACAAGCCACGGGTGAGAAGTCTGAGTCACATCAGGAATCTTCTTCACCAATGCAAAGTGGTATCCATGGAGGTAAGTGGTGACTGGTCTCTGTATCTGCCACATGTTACATGAACCCAGTGCTAGAAAAAATACCTAGGTTACCTTTCCTTGATTGCAGGGTTTATGCTAAATACCGCCAGGTATCCATTTTGATGTCATAATGGTGAAGAGGAGAATTATCTGAACATCTCAGTGAGCCCTCTCCTCCAACCCTCCAGAGTCACTGCAGTCTTGAGGAGACTCATTTTTCCTTTCTCGCCTACTTCCAGTCCTCAATTTGTGTATAAGAAAGCATCACTCATACTTTAAAAATTCAAGAGATCATTGGAATTTAAATGTTCAAGTCCATGGCTTGGCATAGAGAAATATTCTCTGCCCTGTTTTACATAGCATAACATTGCATGTAGACAAACCCTCTATTATTAATACTACATATGGTGGTTGTTAGAGGAAACATTTATAAGGTACCAGAGTTACCATGGTGGAAAAGAAGATAAAGCTTGAGTGGTGAGAGGATGGGTAGGGAATAGTGTACAGAGGCTGAAACACCATCCAGGAAGCATAGATATGATGCCCGTGGACACACTGAGCATACTTGGCCAAGTAAGATACAGAGAAAAAGCTGTCAGTTCTCTGAGGGCAGTAGTTGGGTCATGTAGATAATACCCTGAAGATAAAACAAGCCATTGGTTTATCCTCAATTATTCTACCCATTTTGTTAAGTATACAGAGCAAAACCAAGTATATTAAAAAAACAACGGGGCCAGCACTGTGGCATGGCAGGTGAAGCCACAGCCTGCGGCACCAGTGTGAGGCCACCACAAAACACACCAAACACTGGAGTTAGAGAAAAGGTTTATTGTAGGGTAAGGGAAGCCCAATGGGACAAAGGGAGAAGGCAAGAGGGTAAGAAAGAGGAAAAGAATGTAAGAGAGAGAACAAAAGAGCGCACGTGTGTTCAGGAACAGTTCCTGTTAAACCTTTGCCGGAGGGTGGGCAGGGAAGTAGGAGCAGTGAGCCCCATTAGTGTAGGGGTGGAGCTGACAGCTGTGGTTGGGCCATGTGGTCACCTGGCTTCCAGCAATGGCAGTGGGGGTGCTAGAACCTAGGATGGTGTCCAGGGCGTAGATGGTTCCACAGATAAGACTGCACCATTTTACTAAAACCAGCATCCCATAAGAACACCGGGTAGAGTCCCAGCTGCCTAACTTCTTTTTTTTTTTTTAATTTGACAGAATTATAGACAGTGAGAGAGAGACAGAGAGAAAGGTCTTCCTTCCATTGGTTCACTCCCCAAATGACCACTATGGCTGGAACTGTGCCAATCCAAAGCCAGGAGCCAGGTATTTCTTCCTCGTCTTCCATGCTGGTGCAGGGGCCCACCCTCCACTGCCTTCCCGGGCCACAGCAGAGAGCTGGACTGGAAGAAGAGCAGCCGGGACTAGAACCCAGCGCCCATATGGGATGCCAGTGCCACAGGCAGAGGATTAACCAAGTGAGCTACGGCACTGGCCCCATTTTTTTTTTTTTTAATTTGACAAATAGAATTACACACAGAGTGAAAGGGCTGCCCTCACTTTTTTTTTTTTTTTTTTTTTTTTTTTGGACAGGCAGAGTGGACAGTGAGAGAGAGAGACAGAGAGAAAGGTCTTCCTTTGCCGTTTGTTCACCCTCCAATGGCCGCGGCTGGCGCGCTGTGGCTGGCGCACCGCACTGATCTGATGGCAGGAGCCAGGTACTTATCCTGGTCTCCCATGGCGTGCAGGGTGGGCCATCCTCCACTGCACTCCCTGGCCACAGCAGAGAGCTGGCCTGGAAGAGGGGCAATCAGGACAGAATCCGGCACCCCAACCGGGACTAGAACCCGGTGTGCTGGTGCCGCAAGGCGGAGGATTAGCCTAGTGAACTGTGGCGCCGGCCTGCCCTCACTTTTGATCCAGCTTCCTGATGATGTGCCTGGGAAAGCAGCGGAGGATGGCCAAATTGCTTGGGCGCCTGCACCCACATGAGAGACCTGGAGTAAGCTCCCAGCTCCTGGTTTCAGACGGGCCCAGCTCTGACCATTTCAGCCATTTGGGGAGTGAACCAGCAGATGGACGAACTCTCCTTCTCTCGCTGTAACTCTGCCTTTCAAATAAATGGACAAATCTTTTTAAAAAATTGCTCCATAAGAGATTTATTTTAATTTTTTAAATTTTATTTGAAAAGCAGAGAAACAGAAACAGAGAGAGAGCTTTCATCTGCAGGTTCACTCTCTAAATGCCCCCCAACAGCCAGGGTTAAGCCAGGCCTAAGCCAAATGTCCAGAACTCAATCCAAGTCTCCCACGTGGGTGGCAGGGACCCAAGTACTCAAGTCATCACCCGATGCATTCCAGGGTGTGATTAGCAGGAAGCCAGAATCAGAAACAGAGTCAGGACTTGAAACCAGGCAGTCAAAGGATCTGGGCATCCCAAGCAGCATCTTAACCGCTGAGCCAAACATTCACCCCGTAAGAGATTTTAAAAGAGAATCACTGGTCTACAGAGGGGTTGTATAGTTAACGCTGATGGGTTCCAAAATGTAAAGTTCCCATGAACTTTTTGAAGTCCCAGTATAGTATTTTCTTTTTTAAATCTTATTTAAATCATACAAGTTTCATGTATTTCATATATATATTTAGGAACCTAGTGACACTTCCCACCTTACCCTGCCTCCCACCCATGAATGCTCCAACCCTTCTTCCTCCTCCTTCTCCCATTCCCACTCTTAATTTTAACAAAGATCTATTTTCAGTTTATTTAATGGTAGTAAAGTTAACCCTACACTAAGTAAAACAGTTCGACAAATAGTATGAAGAAGAAAACACTGTTCCTCAATGGAAGAGACAAGGACTGTAAACAATCATCTAATCTCAAAACTGGTATAACATTTTCACCATACATATGCAGCAAACGGGAATAACCCCAATAGCACCAGTAGTTGAAAAATGTAGTTATCTTCTTCCAGTCCAGCTCTGTGCTGTGACCCGGGAAGGCAGTGGAGGATGGCCCAAGTGCTTGGGCCCTGCATCAGCATGGGAGACCAGGAGGAAGCACCTGGCTCTTGGCTTTGGATCGGCGCAGCACCGGCCATAGCAGCCACTTGCGGGTGAACCAATGGAAGACCTTTCTCTCTGTCTCTCTCTCTCACTGTCTAACTCTGTCAAATAAAAAAAAAAAAAAGAAAAATGTAGTTAAATAATTAGAAAGTGATGTTTTTGAGTATTTATTATCTTATAGAATTTATTTTTAAGTGCAAATTTTTATAATTTTGTGTCTTCAGAATGACTTACTTACCAAGCCCCTGACAAAATTCCTGAAAATTCAATCATATGTTCCCATAAGCCAGCATGAGCCAGCTCCAGCTCACTAGCAGCAGTTTGGTTCATTTTTCACATAATACAGACAAACCCAAGAATTCCAATTAATTCTTAAGTAAAAATCTAAGAGTAGCTTTTAGCCAATGCTTATTTGAAATCAGAAGATACAGGACCTTGGATGGGTAGAAATGAGAGTAAAATTCAAAAAAGCATCCACACTGATATGCAGGGATTTGGAGTCAAGGGTTTTTCTTCTTTTTCTCTTAAGTCAACACAACTAAGTTCAGAAAAGTCTTAAGTAAAAAAAAAAAAATGGTGCCATGGTTTGGAAGGCTCCACTAAGTGAAAGTCTCTAGTGGATTTACTCTTGTTATTGTCATAATGACCTGAGCAACAGTGAGGTTTCAACTTGGAAGCTGTTTATTTTTTTAAGATTTATTTATTTGAAAGTCAGAGTTACACAGCAGAGAGAGGAGAGGCAGAGAGAGAGAGAGAAGTCTTCCATGCGATGGTTCACTCCCCAATTGGCCACAGTGGCCAGAGCTGTGCTGATCCAAAGCCAGGAACCAGGAGCTTCCTCCGGGTCTCCCACATAGGTGCAGGGGCCTAAGGACTTGGGCCATCTTCTACTGCTTTCCCAGGCCATAGCAGAGAGCTGGATCAGAAGTGCCACAACCAGGTCTTGAACTGGCACGCATATGGGATGCCGGCGCTTCAGGCCAGGGTGTTAACCCCCTGCGCCACAGCACCAGCCCCTAGAAGCTGTTTATAAGATGTAGAAGTCAATGTTGGGGACCAGTTTTGAGAAACAGCTATAAAACTCTTTCAAGTGCAGTATATTTGTCAGATGTTCCCTTTGCCAATAGTTCTGGCTTGAGGATGACTTCTTAGTCACTCATCTATAGTCAGAATATGAGAATTCTCTCCAAGGAGGATGGAGATAAACTCAGGAAGCTAGGCTGGGCTGTGTTACCTTTACACAGGGTAACACAGGGATTTACCAAACAACTATCTCTAAGTCACTGGGATGCAAAACAAGGGGAAAGCTTGAGTCCTGATGTTCAGAATACAAGCTAGAGTCTCAGAGCCCGCATTGTGGCACAATGGTTAAGCCCCGCCCATGACACTGGCATCCCATATGAGCACCAGTTAGAGTTCCAACTGCTCCACTTCTGATCCACCTCCCTGCTGATGCATCTGAGAAAGCAACAGAAGATTATCCAAGTACTTGGGCCTCTGCCACTTGTGTGGGAGATATGGATGGAGTTTCTTGCTCCTGGCTTCAGCCTGGCCCTACCCTGCCTGGCCATTGTGGACATTTGGGGAATTGAACCAGCAGGTGGAAGATCTCTGTATTCCTCTCTCTCTCTCTCTCTCCCTCTCTCCCTCCCTCCCTCTCTCTTTCTCATCACTATCTCTAACTCTACCTTTCAAATAAAACAATATTTTTTCAAAAAAGAATATATAGCATGTTATTATGAATAAGCAAGCAGACATTATATAATTCCAACAGACTAAAAGAATGATATCAAATTTACAGGTTTCTTGAATCTCAATCCTGTCAAAAAGATTTTTTTGAAGTTTGGTGACTTTTTATTTGGTCGACTAAAGATATAGAGAAAAAATCCACTATTACTATCATTTTGTAAGAGAAAAGACATTTTCATAACTCATACATAAAATCAGTTGTAATCTCAGAAAAGAACATTATTGTCTTAAATGTCGCTCTTTAGTACTTATGCTTGTGACAATTCCCCTGTATCACAGTCCCCTTTATCTGCAGTTCTGCTTTCTGAGGCTTCAGTTACCCAAGATCAATCATAGTTGAAAAACATTACATGGAATATTCCAGAAACAAGCCACTGATAAGTTTTAAATTGTGTGCTTTCTGAGTAGCATGATGAAATCTCATGCTATTTTGTTCTGTCCCATCTGTAATGTGAGTCATTCCTTTGTGCAGTGTATCCACTCTTTATATGCTACCTGCCCACTGGTCACTTTAGTAGCCACCTTGGTTACTAAATCCACTGTCATGATATTGCAGTAACAAATAGATCCTTTGAATAAGTCAAATTCAGCACAATTTAACTGAATCAAAGGAATTGTGAATAACAAATAGACACAGAAGGACTGCGGGTAGAGGCTGTGGCCACCAGGCATGGAGTATTGAATCTGACCTGTGGGGAATCAGGGAATGGGAGTCATTAAAGGTTGGTGAGCAAGAGAGTAACATTATCAACACAATGTTTTAGGAAGACTGGTGGGTCTGAGAAATGAGTAGAAAACATAGAAATAAGAGGAGACAGGAGGCTGCTCTCTGCTTATTTGGAACTACATTGATGAAAACCTTGCTTAAAGGCAGTGAAAATCGAGTGGGAGAGAGGGATGGTATCTGATTGGATGTGGAAGGTGATGGAAAGGAAGAGATCATGTACATAGAAGACAGGAAATGACTGGACCAGGGAAGCACTGCTTGAACCATGTAAATAGCAATGTGTTTCTTGGGTTTCAAATAGACCATAAGTAACTTCCCAGATAGTGAAGCAGCTTTCTTTTTTTCTTAAGATTTATTTATTTATTCAAAAGTCAGAGTTACACAGAGAGAGGAGAGGCAGAGAGAGAGAGAGAGAGTGGTCTTCCATCCGATGGTTCACTCCCCAGATGGCCGCAACAACCAAAGCTGTGCCGACCTGAAGCCAGGAGCCAGGAGCTTTTTCCCAGTCTCCCACGCAGGTGCAGGGGCCCAAGGACTTGGGCCATCTTCTACTGCTATCCCAGGCCACAGAAGAGAGCTGGATCGGAAAAGAAGCAGCCAGGACTCGAACCAGTGCCCATATGGGATGCCAGCACTTCAGGCCAGGGCGTTAACCTGCTGAGCCACAGTGCCCGCCCCAAAGCATCTTTCTTTTTTTTTAAGATTTATGTATTTGTTTATTTGAAAGGCAGAGTACCAGAGAGACAGAGAGAAAGAAAGACCTTCAATGCACTGGTTCATTTCCCAAATCCCACATGGGTGGCTGGTGCCCAGCTTCTTGAACCATCATCCTCTCTTCCAAGGCAAATTAGCAAGACACTAGATCAGAAGAAGAGCAGCAAGGACTCAAACTACGCACTCCAATAATGGACCCTGGCATCACAAGCTATAGTTTAACCCACCGTGCCACAATGCCAGCCCAAAGTGGAGCAGCTTTCACAGCCCAGAGGCAACTGGAGGCATTGAAGGCTGACTAATCTTAGTACACTGGCACGTAGGGATTTCATTAGAGGGGCAAATTTGATTTAGGGCATCTTTAAAGTGAGCAAGGGATGTGATGAATCAATGAGGACAACTCTCAGCGTGCAGCGGTCTCAAGTTTGGAGACTCAAAATGACAGAAAATATTCATGAAGACTTCTTCCCTTACATGCCAAGCCAAGGTTTGCCTCTTGTTTTTTGTTTTGTTTTGTTTTGAAGATTTATTTGTTTATTTGAGAGGCAGAGTTACAGAGAGAGGAAGAGACAGAGAGAGAAGTCTTCCATCTTCTGGTTCACTCCCCAAATGGCTGCAACAGCCGGAGCTGAGCTGATCCGAAGCCAAGAGCCAGAAGCTTCTTCCGGGTCTCCCACACAGATGCAGAGGCCCAAGGACTTGGGCCATCTTCCTCTGCTTTCCCAGGTCATAGCAGAGAGCTGGATAAGAAGTGGAGCAGCTGGGACTTGAATCAGTGCCCATGTGGAATCCCGGCACTGCAGGCAGCGGTTTTACCCGCTACATCACACAGCACCAACCCCTTGCCCCTTGTTTTAATAACAGTTAAAAAATTTCTTCTTTCTACAAATTTCCCTTTTATGAGCAGGAACATTTCTTTGACCTATTTATATGAGACACAAACAGACAGACAGAGCTCCCATCCACTAGCTCATTCCCCAAATGCCTGCAACAGCTAGAATTGGGCCAGGTCAAAGCCAGAAGTCAGGAACTCAATCCAGTCTCCCTTGTGGGTGGCTGGGACATGAGTACTGGAGCCATCATTGCTGCTTCCCAAGGACTGATTCAGCAAGAAGTTGGGGTCAGATGCCAGGGCTGGGTATCAAGCCCGGGTGCTCCAATATGGAACACAGGCATCCTAACTGGCATCTTACTCACTACACCGAATGCCCATCTTTGAGCAGAAATTCATGGCCCCATTCAAGGGTATCATTCAAATACTGCAATTCATCATGCCCACTGACTGATCTTTTACTTACACTAGGTCTAGGAGAACGGAAAGTCCTCAGAGAATATGGAGACGTGCAATGTATGTTGGTTGAATTATAAACAGGAAAAGTTTTCTGTGGGATGTATTTTTTTAATGGGAACACATTGTTATACTCCAAGGATGTGGCATTCTTGCTTAATAGAAACATTTACAAGAACACGTACACATTTATATCCAAACACCAAATGAATTAGATCTTTTAAATGACCAGTTTGCACCAGAAATAAAATATATTATACAAAACAGGGGTTATATCCACAGTCACTAATTCTCATTTCTACACAAAATGACAATAAATTAAATCACATTATATGCAGATAGTTCTACTTACATTAGAATAATAAACTGTATGCAGCTTGTGCAGATTTTACTCTCACTTCCCTACTAAACTCATAGTCAGTTTGTATTGCTTGGTAGTCCTATGTTTAAACTAACAATGAATAGTATGGCCCAGAAGACAAGGGCTGCAGAACTGACCCTCCATAGTGTGTATCCCATGACCTCTTGGCTTCAGTGATCCTCCATGCACAGGGAACAAAGCTCAGATTCCCAGGACCCTACACAGCAGCCCCACGCTGGGAGGGGCACATCATTCCCATCTTGTAAAGATTTTCAGATCTTCGTGTTCAACAACGAATACGACATCCTGTTTCAAAATGCAAATATTCCTCTTTCTCAGCAGTCTCTGCCCGATTTTTATGTGTTATGACAGCTTTGTTCTCCTAGCAAATAAAAAATAATTTGGTAGCCTATGGAGTGATTTACACTTGATACGTGGACCCTTTATTCCTTGTGCATAGAAATTTAGGTTTCTAAACGTGAATCAAAACAATGCAGCATTTTTGCTAACTCCTGATTCTGCTTGTTTAAATCTCTTGCCTGACACCTGACACCTCAAAGAGCTCTCACAGCACAAGGATTCTTACGTCTAAGACTCAGTTCCATTAAAACCCTTTCATTGTGTTTAAAGTAGCTTAAAACACAGACATGAACAGCATCCGCTGGTTTGGAGTGATTTACCTTTGGTATGAATTAACATTAGTGGTTAATGAGAAATTTGAACAAATTCCAACCCAGCACCTTTCAAATGTTGTTTTAATCCCACAAGAGACAATTTTGAAATCTGCACGCTGAAAACCAAAGCCAGGCTTGTTGGAGTATATGCACATCCCAGGCTCACACTGTCCAGAGAGCATGTGTGGTCTAGCTGATGCAAGGCTGCCGACTCAAAGCCAGCTACCTTCTTAAAGCCAGCGCTGTTCCATCTTTTTTGCCTGCTCACAAGCTTCCACCTGCCTGAGCAAGATGCTGTCCACCACTGAAGGTATGATGCAGGGTGGATGCTGGTGATGGGAGGAAGGGGTAAAAACAGAAGTAGCCTGCAAAGCTACCCTCTTCTCTTTCTTTTGAAGAACCAAGCTCCTGATTCTTCTCACTTGGCACGTCCCAAGCTTCTTGCTGAGACTCTCTGTAGTAGAGGAACTAAACTATTAGCTATTCTTCTGTTCTAAAGACCAACTGAAAAGTAAACTAGTCCCCCTGAGCACCATCATCTCCATTCTCTCTGCTTTAAAACATATGCTGTGCTCTTAGACAGTTTCTGTTTTCCCTACCCATCAGGAAATTCAGCTCATTACCAGTTTCCTCATGAAGCCCTGAACCACAGGGTGTTACTGAATAAAACCCATGAAACATAGATCCAGAGGCCTGGTTTCAGTTGGCATTTGTCTTGGTGGTTGTATACAGTCAAGATCTGAGTACTCCGTCTCCCAAGACATACAGGTACTCATTCCTTCCCGTTGATGGACTCATTCTTAAAACCAGTGGCGTAATATTCCATGTGGTCTCCTGAGAAGACTCCCACAAATAGCTAGTGTTTACTCACTTACAAGGAGGTGGTGAAGCCACTGGAACCTGCTCTGAACCCCTGCCACTGTCTGGATGTGGCCTATACAATGACCTTAATTTCACTACTTACTGTAAGCTGTAGGCACCCCCAAGTCAGCCACAACCAGAAGGAAAGTGGTTAGTTAGGGACAAGGAAGGCACCTGTGCTTTGAGTAAATTAATGATTCTGGAAGCCTGTGAAGAGGGAGAAGTGATTGGCATCACCAAGCAAAGGCTTTGAATTTGAGAGGAGAGAGAGGCATTCTCTTTTCAAACATTTCTCTTCTCTCTCTATTAAATACAGCTTCTGAAAAGTAAAGATGTAAGGCCTGTGGAACCATGTCTGAGGTTCAGGAAGTTGATGGTTCTTCAGAGAAATGTAATGTTTATAGGGGTTTCCTCACAAAATCTGTGCCCAGGCTAAAGGAAGACATGAACTCTGTAGGGAAAGTTCTTTCCAGATGGAAGTTACCATCTAGGTGAACCTTTTATTTCTGAGTTCCTCTTTGTCCCCTCTGAATCCAAAAAGACAATGACAACCATAAAACCGATACTTATTTCCACACCAAAAGAGTACACACCCCTTTGGGTCTGTTTCAACGTAAGTTTGTTTGACAGTATTTGAGAAAATACAGATAAAATAGCCTTTTGAAATTTGAATATCCTAGATTTCAGGGTAAAAAAATTATAGAAATGATTTTAAAAACTAAAGCCCAATTTATTTTACTATATGATATGTGGCTACTGGCAGAATATGAATGACTATTTGCCAAAGATGTTACTTAGCAGTTGGAAACTTAAATTGCAAAATACAATCTGGGTTAAGAAGTCTTAACCTAAGTCAACTTATGCTTGACACCTATTTTTTTTTTGGAGAGATTTATCCAACTTTATGGAGTTTTCAAAACTTAATGGAGTTTTGGTAATTCATATGAAGATTTCAGGGAACAAATAATAGACAACAGACATACAAATAAATCTTTAAAAACAGCAGAATTTGCTTTTTAAATTGGAAAAGAATGGCATCCTCATACCAGAAACTTTGTGATTTGTGTTGCCATTTTTTTTAAATACTAAATCCTCATTTATCTTCAAGATCTTATTCAGGGATATAATAAGTTTATAATTATTCTTCTGGGCTGGCACTGTGGCACAGCAGGTTAACACTCTGGCCTGAAGCATCAGCAACCCATATGGGCACCAGTTCTAGTCCCAGCTGCTCCATTTCCAATCCAGCTCTCTACTATGGCCTGGGAAAGCAGTAGAAGATGGCCCAAGTCCTTGGGCCCCTGCACCCATATGGGAGACCCGGAGGAAGCTCCTGGCTCCTGGCTTCAAATTGGCAATTGCCACCAATTGGGGAATGAACCAGCAGATGGAAGACCTCTCTCTCTCTCTCTCTTTCTCTCTCTGCCTCTCCTTCTCTCTCTGTGTAACTCTGACTCTCAAGTGAAAAATAAATAAATCTTTAAAAATATATACATATAATTATTCTTCTACCTGCAGTAGAAATAAAAGATATTTTCTCTAAAACTGCTGATGGACTATTATGTAAATTCTAGAAAGACTGGACACGTTCAGAACCCAAAGACTGAAGCCAGGTAGACAGTATTCCCACCCCCCGAAAATACAAATACAGGCTCAAAATGTGTTTTTTACCAACACAAAATAATAGAAAATTATTATCTCTAGAGGATAAGAAAACATCATGAAAAATTTGAATGAGAGAAATAAGCTCTCCAATTCCTGTGACTGAGAATAGAGCACTCTTTCCATTCTCTTCTCACCTGGGGGAGTCCCAAGCTGTCAAATGTTTTGCTGTCCTGGGTCTTATTTTCAAACCCTCTTCCTCCATTAGAATTTTTTGCGCCTGTCTTTCTTGCCTTCTTTTTCCATCCTTATTTGAATCCAGCACTCTTCTCTTTCTGTCTAGCAGGACGGACTGCAACATTGTTTCAGTTCCTCGCAGTTAATTCTTCTACCCTGCCTTTCCATTCTGTCATGCCTGCATCCTGCATCCCATTTTTCAAACAATGGAGAGGAAAGGTGCCTCAGGCAGATATCATCAGTTCACTGTGATGGCTGTGGACAGAGGCAGACCCCTCTGGGGAAGCAATCGCTAGCCAAGATTTAAAATATGGAGCTGTCACTCACTTTTTCCTCTTCTGTTACCAGTGTGAGTTACAACCTCCATCACCACCAAGGAAGTGCTTAAACTCCCCTCTGTCCCTGTCTTTTATAGACACTAAGATCATTTGCAAAAATACTTTTCATATGCTCAAAATGTTGCTAGGAAATAACCTAATGACATTACAGGACAGCACTCTTACCTGACACTTCCCTTTCTTTCCTTGCTGTCTGTTTTCTCCACAGCTGTAGGTGAATGTGACAACCTGAGAATAAACCTATGTGCAGAGTACTGGGTGCAAAGCAGATATCCAGGAAATCCCTACAAATCATCCCAATGCCTTACACCCACACCCAACCCACTGTCACACAGGTTATTGGTGGATGCCTGTAAAACTGCAGAGTAGACTGAGAATGAATACTCACATAGAAGGTACTTAGATTACCCCCCCCCATAAACTTTTAAAGTAAAAGAGTGTTATTAAAGGGAAAAAAATCCAAACTCATCATTGTGAATTCTGGTAAATGCCATGCATTTTTTTTTTATCAATTCCATCCTTCTGTCAAGTTCTAAGTCTTTCTTAAGTTATTCTTGAGGGGGAAGGGCTACCTCCCTTTAAAATTTTGCCTAATTATAATCTCTTTTCACTCTGGATCTTGAAACACCATTTGGTCAGAACTGGAAGGGATGCAGCCCAGCAACAGATTGCATTTTAAATGGTTCAAAATGCAAATGGTTTAAAAATGAATGTACTCCTATAGAGTTTGCAATCTACATACATCTTTAGATCTCTGTAATTAAAGCAGTAATTGGCATTTGGCTATGACCAGGAGAAGGAGGAAACAGAGAAAAAGAAAAGCATCTTTCTTTGATCATTACTGGCTTGTTATACACTTGACCCATGCTTTTAAAATATAAGTGAAATTTAATCTTCAAACTGAAAAAATAGACATATTTTCTAACATCAAAATATAAGATTAAGATAGTTAAAAATAAAAGTGTTAGTGTGAAATAGGGCTTTTTTTTACACACAAAATTCAGATTTGCTTTTCTTGTATAAATCTTCCTACCTCACTAATATTTACAACTTTTCAGAGTAGCTCTTATGAGACACTGAAGGAGACAAGGAAAAAATGCTTTTCCAGATTCAAAGTCAGAACCTGATTGCAGACATTGGACACAGCAATCCTCAACCATCTCTCTGCCAGCTCTAGAGAGAGTGATGGTGTATTCCCAACCCTGGGATTTTCTCATTACATTTCCTTCTTATTGGGTGTCAAACTCTTCCCAAGAATATTCTACTTGTAAAAATGATTTTATTCTAGCTACAAAACATTTCATGTAGGAAAACCACATTTTATGTCCTTGTGTGAAATGTCCCCAAGAGCCATCAAGATATGGAGACATCAGATTTTAAAACATAAATCCAATTATATGCCCTTGAAGCAGTATGAACACTTAGCAAAGTGACATTATATCCTTATATTTGTTTGTCATGAGATGAAAGGCCGGGAGCCAGATCATGATTAATAATAGTTCCTGAGCTTCTAAAGAATGTTTAAAATGAAATGACTGCTTAAAAGAATGAATGCTTCAAGAACACCCCTTCTGTTCCACTGATGTCTTTCATCCCAGCTATCTCCTTAAGTAACCTCAGGCAGAAAGGGGAAAAAAAAAATTAAGCTTCTTTTAAGCCACCGAAAAATGGGATCTGATGGAATCTTCTCGTAACTCCCGATGTTTTCCAACGTTACTTTCTTCTTGCTGGTTTCGCCTCTCAATGGTTATTCTGTATTTCTTCCTGGGTAAAGGGAAAGTGAATGCAGTAATAAAACATCACTTGGTTACAAAATACTGGGGTTTCTCTTACAAAGAATGCCCTCAGGGGACATCTGGGTTTGGTTTGACAAATGAGAAGTGACAAAATATGAAACCCTGGTCAGAGATTAAAGTAGTGTGCCCAAGGCACTATGCCCTCTTTCAAGGGGGAAAGTCGGCATGCTTTCCAAAATGCCAGAGAACAAGACCTCCCCTTCTTCCCTGAGTGCCTTGTGGGGTTAAGTCTTGTCACTTCTGCCACAGACACACTCCCTGACTCCCAGGAAATGCCCTAGATAAAGATCAGATTAAGTACAGTGGGACCGAAGGAGTACAGCTGTTCCCACAAGGGGTCCCATCCACCCAGAGTCTAATGATCTATAAGTCACAAACTCAACCACCAAAGGTTACAAAGGAAGGGGCTGCCCTTGGAGCGTGGAACAATGGCTGCCTTGAACACACACACCTTTTAGAATTGTGCAAGTCCTGAGGCTACCCCACAGTGAGCTAAGCTCACAGGGCTCCAAATACGAAGCCCAGATCAGCCTGGGAGCACAGACTACTCCCAGCTCCCTCCTTCCCTTTAGGAAGGTTAAGTCAAGCCTCTATTTCTGAATTGGAAGCAGTCTGAGAACAAGAAAGTTGATTTTCCCCTTTGTCCAGATTCCTTCTCCATGTGTGCATTTGGTGAGTGGTAGGAATTGCTGTCGAAATATCTGTGAACTAAGGACAGCAATGGCTCTCTGGCCTTTAGGGTAAGGCACTGGAATATCGTAACTCTAATAACCAACAATGCTAACCCACTGACCACCAAATCCAGGGTCACACCAAAAGGACTGCTTAGGTCTTCTAACCACCAGGCTTCTTGGGTGTAAGAAAGATGTGGACAAGTCACAAGGGGGATCATGCCAAGACAAGTGACAAAGGCAGTCAAAGGAGAGTGAATTGTATAAACAATTCTCACCTGAAAAAGTAGAAGGCCATTAGCAACCCAGCTCCCAGTAGGGCCCCTACAACAATGCCTGTCACCGCTGATTCTTCTAGACCACCTGCTTGAAAAGAAGCATAGATAATCAGGGTTCACTTTGAGAAGGAGTTAGAAATGCCTCAAGGTTCCTTCAAGGAAGGTGTTTCTCAGTTTCCTAGTTGCTGCAAATGTTCTTCTTTCTTTCTTTTTTTTTTTTAGAAAGATATTCTAGGAGATCCTGCACTTTTATCCAAGTGCAAAGCTTAAGAAGCCTTTGAGAAAGTATTAGAAAAACAATCACAAGAGAGTGGACAAGATGGGAAAAGTAGCAGATTGAAGAGGGGTCTAAGGGGAGCGCTGGAGTTGTGGTGTAGCAGGCAGAGCTACCACCTGAGACCCCAGTGTCCCCTGTGGATGCTGGCTCCAGCCCTAGCTGCTCCACTTCCAATCTGGCTCCCTGCTAATGTGCCTGACAAAAGCAGTGGAAGATGCTTGGGCCTCTGCCACCCACATAGGAGACCTGGATAAAGCTCCTGTCTCCCGGCTTTGGCCTGGTCCAGCCCCAGCCATTGCAGGCATGTGGGGAGTGACCAATAGATGGAAGAGCTCTCTCCCTCTCTCCCTCCCTGTTCTATCTGTAATTCTCACTTTCAAATAAATAAATAAATCTTTGGGGAAAAAAGGAGGCATTTGAGGAAAAAAAGGAAAACTAAAGGTTTCAGATACACCCAGTCTTGAGTTTACAACCAAAGAAGACAATCAGAGGGACAATGGCCCTGACCTTCCACTTCATATTCTCACAGTCAGATGGTGACACTCACTGGTCAGTGCTCTGCTTTTACATATTCTCTCACCAAAGCCAGAGTTCACATCCAAATGTCCTGTATAGCTTTGTGAAAATGTGAATAGCAATTGAAACACAATTCACATTGAAACAATCAAGTTCAGTAGCATCTGGACACATAAAAAGGATAAAATAAAAAGTTTATGCATAAAGAGCTGAGTAAATGGCCCTCAGTGTATTACATCTCATTTAATCCTCAAAAAGGCCTGAGAATTTTTTCACTGTATATATGGAGAAACTGAGGCATAAGGAAGCAAACTCTCCTAGAGTGACAAAACCAGCAAGTGACTGGGTGAGACCTCATTTCCAGGGCCACTGTCTCCTTCATTCCTTCCTCCCTTCCTTCCTATAATTGTTGCATACACAGAAACACTTCACAGCTTGAAAGATGGTCCAAAAACACACTGAGCACACACTCCCGGATATTAGCTGACAATGCCCAGCAAGCCTGGAAGACTGATACTCACTTTGTTTTCCCTTGCTAGTTGAAGTACTCACTAAAATAATGGTTTCTAACAATCTTCTAATTTGTAAGCAACTTCTTAGAATGACCACTTCTGGAGCAGGCATTCTGGCACAGGGGTTAAGTTTGAGATGTCCACATCCCTTGTCACAGTGCCTGGTCTGGTCCCTGCAACTCTGCACTTCTTATCCAGCTTTCTGCAAATGCTCCTGGGAGACAGTGGATGACGTCTCAAGGACTTGAGATCCTTCTACCCACATGGGAGACCTGGATGGAGACCTGGATGGCTCCTAGGTTTGGCCTGGCCTAAAGCCAGCTGCTGTAGGCATTTGGGGAGTGAACCAATGGAAAGAGCTCTCTCTCTCTCTCTCTCTCTACTCTGCCTTTCAAATAAATAAAATATTTTTTAAAATGTCCACTTGTTTCTCCACTTATGTATGAAACTATTCCTACATAACATGTTTTATATTTATTTGTCAATTTTCAGGTATTTAAGGGGTATTCTTTGGTTCTCAAGGCTTGGAGGATAGTGAAAATTTTGAAATGAGACTTGCTACAAGAACTGAACAGGTGAATGACACTTAATAGCTGATCTTTTGATTTTTCCCTAAAAGTGGAAACCTCAAATAACTAAGAGATGGTAGTAAGAAATGTAAAACTGGGACGCAGGCTTTGACCATGTGGGAGAGAGGAATGGAGTGGAAGAGAGACCCGAGGCCTCCGTGCCAGGAAGCATGCCGAGCTGTGGGGCATTCCACCAAAGAAATGGGGCCGTTCAGCTCCTGAGTTCCCGGAGGACACTCATGTGCTAAACTTGCATCATCCTGAGACTAGAGATGAGGAAATACTGAGCAAATTAAGTCTCTGAACTTACATGATTTGCAAGGAGAGCTGTTCGTATGCTCCACGAGTCTGGTCTCATCTATTCTCAATTTCAAGGGACCCCAGGGATATTTGATATTAGGCCGCATTTCAAAACGACCTTCTTTTCCAAAGTAATCCCCGATAACCTACAGAAAGGCAATAAATAAATAAATAAATAAATAAGTACACACACACATATACAAGCTGAAAGGTCAAAGTTAGCAGTTTGCAAGGAAGCACAAAGCCCACAGCCTTGTACAGCTCCTCTCCAAACGCACAGCCTGAGCCAACCAGATGGAGACCAGACTTTGTCCAGTAACCTCCCCAGGGCAGGGAGCTCAGTGGCACTGGGAGGCGCCCCTTTTGTACAAGTTGACTATTATGATGCATCTCTGAGGATGCGGTGAGAGTTAAGATCTGAAATCACTAAGGATGTCTCTAGAGGGGCAGAGGTGAGTGAGAGTGGTGGCTCCTCACCATGGCGGAGCCAGTGGTCTGCAGCATGGAGGATGTGGAGGGGGAGAAGGAGGGCCACCAGCATTGCCCCTGAGTATTCTTCAGTAACACCACCAGGAAGAATTTTTCCCTACAAAAGTCAATCATCCAGAAGTCATGGCTTTTTCTTTGCTCAATGGACAGGGCACAGTGGGGGCCGACACTGTGGCACAGTAGGCTAATCTCTGCCTGCGGCACCGGCATCCCACATGGGTGCTGGTTCTTGTCCCGGCTGCTCCACTTCCAATCCAGCTCCCTACTATGGCCTGGGAAAGCAGTAGAAGATGGCTCAAGTTCTTGGGCCCCTGCAAGAAGCTCCTGGCTCCTGGCTTCGGATCGGTGCAGCTCTGGCCATTGCAGCCATTTGGGGACTGAACCAGTGGATGGAAGACCTCTCTCTCTGTCTTTCCCTCTCTCTGTAACTCTATCTCGCAAATAAATAAATAAAATCTTAAAAAAAAAAAAAGTAGACAGGGCACTGGCTCAGCCATCTGCCCAGAGCAGCCCACATGCTCAGTCATTTATAAGGTTCAGGTTACTTTCAGGGATGGTCAGGAGGACCCAGGGTCCACCAAATGCCCAGCTTCAACAAATGATGGGCACCCAGCCCCATGCCCCCGTTAGCCCAGCACCCAGTGAAAGCACTGGAGGCTCTTGGAGAGACAGCCCATCTCCCAGAGGTGCCCTCCCCATGCTGTAGGAGCTCTGCTCTCCCCCTGGGGAGTTCACCTATTCACACCCCCATTCTGGGCTGAGTTCTCACCTTCCATGAGCATCTCAAACTCCTGAAATCATTTATCTTTTCAGGCTCAATACCAGGGTCACCCCTCAGTTTCTGGTTAAAATGACTTTGGAAGAACCCAGGTTCTCAGGATTCATTTCTCTTTTGTCTGGGCATCAGCACACAGCTCTTGAGCACACTGTGACCCCTCCCTCCCTCTCCCTCCCTCTCCCTCTCCATCTCTCCCTCTCTCTCTCTCTCTCTCCCTCTCTCCCTCTCTCCCTCTCCCTCTCTCCCGCTCTCTCTCTCTCCCTCTCCCCCTCTCTCCCTCTCTCCTTCTCCCTCTTTCTCTCTTCCTGCTGTTGGAGGCATGGGTGGCTCTCACAGTTCTGTCAGGCCATAGTGAAAAGAATTCTAAATCCTCCCAAGATAACAATCACTGATGCATACTAGCATGTACCCAGTGCTCTATGTAGCCCTACAATGGGTGGTGACCCACCTTCTCCTGTGGGGGAGACTAGATCACACAGGAGATCTAAAAAAGTCATTCCATAAACACAGCAGAGGAGACTAGGCAGCCTGGGCCCCTCCTACAACACTGGGCATGCGTGAACAAAAAGGAAAACAGCAATTCTCATATGCTGCGGCCCAGAAAAGGTAACCAGAGCCACGACCCAGAGCAAGTGACATTATTTCCTGAAACAGTGTGTATCTGTATACATATGTAGATATGCATATTTGTATGTGCACATTTGCATATAAATTATGCATGCACATATTATGTAATATATGCATATATGTGTGCAATATGCATACATGAATGCCGATTGTGTAGTATATGTATATGAATAACATATATTTATTTGTACATTTATGCATGTGTATTGCATATTTACATAGTTTTAATATATACATAGTTTTATTTATCATTTGAAGTTTATACAGTAGTTTTTTTTTTTTTAAGGGAAAGGGTTTATTTGGGAAAACCCAACAGACTGAGAGAAGGGGCAAAGAAAGAAAAAGAGAGAAAATGAAAGTGTAAGAGAGAGAGTGAGAGAGAAAGGTCAAGAGACAGAGCGATCAGGAGATGGAGAGAAAAAGAGCTGTGTGTTCAGGAACAGGTCCTTTTAAAACTTTGCCAGGGGCCAGGCAGGGAAGTAGGAGCAGCGAATCCCATTAGGATGGGGGTGGGGCTGACACCGGTGGTTGGGCCATGTGGCCACCTGGCTTCCAGCACATACAGTACTTTTCTAGATGTCATTTTGGCTGGTCCTCATAGCAGTCATAGTATATCCGCAAGGCAGATATGACGATTTCCATGCTACAGAGAGGACACCCCCAGCAAGCCTTGGAGGTGCCTCTCTGCCTTTAGCACATTTTTTTCTCTTGCTATCCTGAAGTTAATCATCTTTGAAAGATTAACACATGCCCAGTTTGTAAACACCCACCCACCAAAAATAAAATAGGATAAAAACAATCCCAAAACTCATGTAAGAAATATGTTCCACTTTGCCTCTTCTATCCAACAAGCCCCTGTGCAGAGTTAAGGTGTGATGCCTGCTCCTTCAGAGGTGGGACTTCCCCACTTAGACTCGACATGGAACCCTTTCTGGACTCCCTTCCTCAACCAAAAGGAAGCTACCCCTACCTGGAAACTCCCAAGTTTCCAACTCATTTCTATTTGGAGGTTGCTTTTGGGACAGCTCTTTGGGCACCAGAACAAACACATTCTCAGAGTCCTAACAGGCAGAAGCAGCAACTGGTGGAGTGCTGTTCACTCACCTCCTGGGTTCCTGCCTCCGTGTCCGTCATGGCGATCACAGAGAAGTCCCCGTATCGGTCTCCATTGGCGTCTATGGACACCTGTCCGGCAATACCTACAGGGCAAGAGGGGACGAGCTCCAAGTTAGTTGCTTGAAATACTTCTGCTTGCCAACCAAAACAAGTAAATAAATTGACAGGATTTTTTAAACTCAGGCCACAGGGAACCTCATCAGACTGAGCGCTTTTGTTGGCATTCGGAAAGACATTGTAATTTTATCTGTGTCTGCATTCCTAAATTCTTAGCATTGCTCCATTTAAAAATGAAAAGAAAAAAATAATCTTTGGGGAATATGTTCTACAAAAAAGAGGATTAAGGTTCATCCCCAGACACAGCACACTTATCCTAGAGTTTTGTATTCTTTTTCTTAAAAAAAAAAAAATTGCAGAATGAACAGTGAAAGTGCAGTGCATTCATACACTTGTCATGGGTTTGCATTATCATCAGACTAAAGGAAGACCATCCCAGGTCCAGAGCTCAGTGGACACACTTTGTTGTGGACTGCTTTCACAGCAGAGCAAGGGCCTGCTTTGTGGTCACTGGAGCCAAGAGCTAAAGAAGCCCTCTTGGGCTTTTCCCAGGGTAGCTGTCACTCACTGTCTATCCAAATGTGATCTGGAAGATTACTACTTGCTGAATTAGTGCTGTAGCTGACACTAAGATGAATTGAACTGTCCCCACTTGAGAGGGAGGCAGCCTGGACTAGGAAACTAGCTTGCTTCCACCAGAATCAAACTACTTACATTTGAATCCCAGATTTTTACATGCACTAGCTCTGTGATCTTGGGCAAGCTGCCTAGTACCTCTGGGAACTTCACTCTTCACAATGTAAAGTAGGTAAAATAGTACCTCCCACGCCTGAGGCCGTGGAGATGATTAAATGGGGTAAAGCAGGTGATGCATTTTCAACACAAGTCTGAGAGACATTAGCTATTCTCTTCTACAGGCTGACATGCGTAGACCAGAGCATTTGAGATTGTTGAAGTCTTTTGGATTCTGGAATATTTGCATATACATAATGAGATTGTCTTGGGGATGGGATCCAAGTCTAAACAGAAATTTCATTTATGTTCATGTAGGCCTTATACTCACACCCTAAAGATAATTTTGTACAGTATTTCTAATACTTCTGTGCATGAAAAGAAAGCTTCACAGTAAGGAATTTTCCACTTAGGGCAACAAGTTGGCACTAAAGTGTTTCAAGATTTTGCAGCATTTCGGATTTTGGATTTTGGATTTTCAGATTAGGAATGCTCAACAACTATTTATTTTATGATTACTGTTATTATTACTATGCTTGAAGTCTGGTGGTGAGCACCAGACCATACCCACGCCACTCCAAGGAGCTAGCACATCACACTGGAGAATTCAGGAGGAATCAGTCAAAAACAGCAACTTTATAGGAATATTGGAGGAAACCTATAATTTCCACCAGCAGCAATCAAAAAACAGGCATATTCTAGGCAGGAAGGTTGGCCTCATATTTAGAAAGGCACAGAAGACAAAAAGGACCAGAACTGTGAGATTTCCAAGGACAGAGTCCATGTATATGGAGTAGGGCAGCCAGAGGTAAGGCTGGGTACCACTTGCTTTTGCCAGCAATGGTGGCCTAGTCCAATTAATTACATAAAATCAACTATGTATCACTGACTGATATTAAATATGTCTATTATGTCTAAATATGTCACTAAATAAGAGAAATAAGAGAATGCACACATCAGCCACATTCTAATTCAATAACATAACTTGTTTTCTCTCTTACACTGTGGGAGGGTTCAGGGTCATTTTTAATTGATGTTTCTATTGACTTGGCTCTTTCCAGAAGTCCCAACTCATTTGGTAAAATTAATGTCTGGGGAAAGGATCCCAAGGGAAAGTTCCATCCTCCAGCGTGGTCTGGAGAGGGCAGGTGTTTGGGTTTACTCTCCTTTGGACTGTGGTTTAAAGAACCACTGGTTTTTCCAGACTTTGGTCGACTTTGCCGGAAACAGAATGGAGTTACCATCCATCTTGATTTTTGTGTCTTCTTTATATGAAGACAAAATAGTTACAAAGACTCACCCATCTCAAACTTGTACATCTTGGACAACGTATAAAACTTTAAGTGATAGATATGAATTTTTTAAAAAACAATTGCAATCATCTCTAAACATATGGCCTCTCCAAAACCAACTGTCATCCTGCCCAAGGCATCTGTGATGGTGTGCCCTGCAAAGTCTTCTTGCATAGTGCTGTATAAGACAACTTGGCTCTAGTAAGCCAAGACCTCATTACGTCTTTATGTTATTACAATTCTGCCAAGAAATGGGGTGAGATCCCTCAGGGTGGCCGAGAAGCAAGGTGAGACCGCACCTGCTAGTGTCGCCCACAAGGTGAGATCATCGAGCTGACAGTAGAACTTCCCCGTACATAAGCAATGAGATTCTCCATCCTCACTTCTATTTGCTGGTAGTGGAGCTCAAGCTCTGGGCCACAGTCCTATTTACCTTGTCGCTCTGACCTCTCACACAGAGGATGCTCAAACTCTTCCCAAACCATTTATTGGAAGCTTTGACAGCTGATCATAGGTTTCAGAGCAGTAAACATCCAAATTTGTCAAATAACATCCAGAGTGTTTTCCCCTTAACAACTTAATGGCCACTTACAGTGACCATTAAAATTAAAACTGTTTGTAATTTTAGGAAGGTTAGGATTTTTCTTCACACAGATACCTCTAAAGTTCTTTTTGGGCCTACCTTCAAATGGATCGTTGTTTGGTAAATAAAATGGGCTCTCCAAACAATTCAGACCCAAAACCTGCCTTGGCTTCAATTATCTCTACATTTGGACAAATGAGATTCTTATTTTAGACTGAACTATCCAGATAATTGTTTCAGGACTGCATAGACCTGGTCCTCAAATGGAAACGTTAAGTCGGACTATGGAAAAGCCTAGCCCATTCCTGGCTCTAAATAAAACTATGTTCAGACCATTGTGGGTACTTACTCTCCCTCAATATTGCCCTCCAGTGTCCCCTGACTCTGGCTCCTGTCCCTCTGTCAGAAGACCAAGAACAAATGACCACACCATGCACTTAAAGCTAAGAATGGGATGTGGACTACCAAGGTGGTGTCCACACACACACACCAGTTTCTCAGTGTATTGTGCACAACTTCTGGGAAACCTGACTCTGTCCTAACATGCCCCCTGAATTGCTCTATTTGATTCCAGCTTCTCAGCTGAAGCAGCCAGAGGTAAAATGAGACAATCCTGGAGATTTACTTGCCCTCATCCCACAATCTGTCTAAGCCAAAGGAGATATCACTCTGGTTTTGAGTAAGACATGAAACGATCAAGGAGAAATGAAATCCACCAATTGCCTCCATACCTACTGCCCAGATGGCTCTGGCTACAATTTGCCCCCCACCCCACCATCTTACCCTTTCTGAGAAACGAAGTCAAGCCATGGCAGTGGATGGGTAAAAGACCCAAATGGGAAAACATGTTCCATACATATGGACTTGTCAGTCCTTGTTGCTGTCATTCAAAAATTTTTGCAAGGCTTTGCAGTTAAGAGGCTAGCATCCCACATAGGAGTTCTCCATCTCCCACTCCTGACTCCGGCTTCCTGCTAATGCAGACCCTGGGAGCCTATGATGATGGCTCAAGTGATTGGGTCCATGCCACCCTTGTAGGAGACCTGGATTGCGTTCCCAGCTCCCAGCTTTGGTCTTGGCCGAGCCCTGGCTGTTGCAGCCATTTAGGGAGTGAACCAGTGAATAGAAGATTTCTCTCTCTCCCTCTCCCTCTCCCTCTCCCTCTCCCTCTCCCTCTCCCTCTCCCTCTCCCTCTCCCTCTCCCTCTCCCTCTCCCTCTCCTTCCCTCTCCCTCTCTCTCCTCTCTCTCCCTTTCCTCTCAAACAAATAAAATGCTTAAAAATAAAAAAATTGGCAGAGTATAATTACAAATACAGAAATATCCCAATCCACTAAGGGGTTAAAGGAAGAGTTACCATAATGCAAAACTGAAGGGGCTCTTGTCAGTCCTCAGTTGGCCCCACTTCCTTGTTGTACAGGTGAATAAAGAGAACTGGGGTTTCTAGTTAGTGGTCAGGATGCGGGTTGCAAGGCATGATGCCCCCTGTCCCCAGCATACTCCAGTTCATTTGCCCCAGAGCAGCAGTAAGGACCTCCCTTTAAAGACCCAAGGCAGGTCATTCACTCAAAACCCTGAAGGGACTTGTCTCACTCAGGTGGAACCCACGTCCTCCACAAGGCTTCCCTGTCCCCAGGATGTGGCCCTCACTACCTCTCCAGCCTTGACTCCTGTACACTACCCCCCAGATGCAGGATCAGCCACAGCGCCCTCCTGGCTCCTCGGAGATGCTCCTCACTCTCCCACCAGATGCACTTGGGGTCTCTGCACTTGCTACTCCCTCTGCAGTGATCACTCCAAACACCCACAGAACTTCTCTCCCTTTCTGCACTTCTCTACTAAGCTACCATTCTCACAGAGACCTTCTGTGGCCACTCCAAGCCTCCCTTCCACTATTGTATATCTCCCTGCCCTGGGTTATTTTATGGCTCCTGAAATGACACATTTATTTGATTATTTCCTGCCTCTCCCCACACCTCCACCAGCATGTTAAACTCAACTTATTGCAGGGAAAATCTTTGGTTCGCTGAGGAACCTTCAGCTCTTTGAACAGTGTTTGGCATGTGGGAGGTGCTCAATGAATATCTGTTGAACAAATGAACGGATGGGTGAGTGGATAAATAAAAAATTGACATCTGCAAGGCTCCAACAACGAGATCATCCCATATTGATTCTCTAGTTAATTTTCTAGAGTGTTGGTGAGTTGAAACACAACCAGCACTCACATATACACTGTTGGCAAAAATATAGGTTAACAGAACTTTCTGGGAAATATTTGGCAATATCAAACACAATTGGAGAAGCACAAACATATTTTTGGACTAAGAATGTTCCCTGTTGGAAACACTCACAAAAATTCATCAAGATGTGCAAGAGGCTTGTGATAGCATGCTAAATAAGAATGAAAACTGTAAACTACTCAAGTGTCCATCAATAGCAAGAAAATGGGTTAAAGAAATTCTTGTCTAGCCATATGGTGGATAATACATAACTATCATTTTAAAATGTGTTGGATGGGGCCAGTACTGTGACATAGCAGGTAAAGCCAGCACCTGCAGTGCTGGCATCCCATATGGGCGCTGGGTTCTAGTCTCAGCTGCTCTACTTCTATCCAGCTCTCTGCTATGGCCTGGGAAGGCAGCGCAGGATGCCCCAAGTCCTTGGGCCCCTGAATCCACATGGGAGACCTGGAAGAAGCTCCTGACTCCTGGATTCAGATCAGCCCATCTCTGGACATTTTGGCCAGGTCGGGAATGAATCAGCAGATGGAAGACCTCTCTCTCTCTCTCTCTCTCTCTCTCTCCTTCTGCCTCTCTGTAACCTGCCTTTCAAATAAATAAATAAACCTCTTTAAAAAATGTGTTGGATCTATGAGTGTTCACAAAGAAAATTACTTGACTTGACATACAAGGGAAAAATCAATAAAAAATGGCATTTCTGGTTTGAGTTCTTTTGTGTAAAATATTTTCGATGAAACATCCAAATGTCTCTGTGCTGGCAAAAGGCATAAAATCTTTGTATACATATTCGTAAGAACTTGTTAATAATGCTTACTCTAGGGAGAGAGCCAAGGGTGGGAAGGAAAGCTTTCGCTTTTCATTTTGTACATTTTAGTACTGCTTAAATTTCATAGCAAAAAACAGCCTCATTATTGTACAATTCTTAAATGTCAACAGAGGTTGCCTGAGTGATAAGATTATGGGCCACTTTGTTGTTGTAGTTTCTATACTTCTCTGCTCTTAAGAAAACAGCAACTAATATTTACCATTTTAAGATTAAAATAAATCACTTGGACCTGCTAATCAATGAGCCACCAGGTTTAGTCACAATAACTAATTTTCTTGGAGTTTCACAAAAAACAATATCCTCTGAATAAAGGAATGTGTATCTGGGATTAATATGTATTTTAAAACTAATCATAGAACTCTTCCAAAACTGATCATTCTGCTGTGAATAAGGCTTGTGTTATGTATAATTTTAAGAAGCATAGAGCTGGGACTGGCATGTGGCATGGTGGGTTAAGCCATCTATTGTGATGCCGGCATCCCACATCAGAGCACTGGTCCAAGTCCTGGCTGCTCTGCTTCCAACTCTGCTGCCTGCTAATGTTGTCTGGGAAAGCAGCAGAAGACGCCTCAAGTATTTGTGCTCCTGTCACCCAAATGGGAGATCTGTATGGAGTTTCAAGCTCCTGACTTCAGCCTAGATCAGCCCCAGCCATTGTAGCCATTTGAGGAGTGAACCAGTGAATGAGAAATCTCCCTCTCTTTCTATTGTTCTGCCCTTCAAAATAAATAAATAAATATTTTTTAAAAAAGAAAGAGCATAGAGTTGTTATCTAAACCAACAGAAGATGAGACATTTCCTGATTCAGTGAGATCTTGTCAAAGCACTTTCAGGTACATTATCTCATTTGATTTTCACAAGCAGCCATCAGATGGGTCGATCTTGATTTACTATCTTTCCTTCACAGCTGGGAAGGAAAGGCCTCATAGTTGCAACAGAGAAAAAAAAAAAAAAAAAAACAGAACCTGGGAAGAAGCAGCTCAGTGGGCTGTTGTTGCCTTAGAGACTGAATCCCCACCTTCAAATGTTCTGTTCCAAGTCTGCTGGATAATTTTCCCTCCATCCTTCTTGCTGTAACCAGCTCTGAGTACTTCGTGTAAAGCCAGGACGTAGAGGAGGATGGCATCGTGGAATCCTTCAACAAACATGTTCACCTGTAAAGGAAACCCCAGCTGGGTGAGCCCAAGCGCCAACTGACTCACATTCAGGAATCACACAGCAATCAAGAGGGTTAACAAGCTAGACTTGAGGTCTCCAGGCAGCGGCAGAAGTGGGCAGAAGGGCAGCAAGTAGGACTCACACTATGGCTTTCTCAGCACTGACTGAAGGAGGAAAGTCTTTCCCCAGTTTGGGAATTTGGAGAACAGACATATCATTATGGAAGTCAAGAAAACTAGGCCGGCACCGCGGCTCACTAGGCTAATCCTCCGCCTGTGCCGCCAGCACACCGGCTTCTAGTCTCGGTCGGGGTGCTGGATTCTATCCGGTTGCTCCTCTTCCAGGCCAGCTCTCTGCTGTGGCCCGGGAGTGCAGTGGAGGATGGCCCAAGTCCTTGGTCCCTGCACCCCATGGGAGACCAGGAGAAGCACCTGGCTCCTGCCTTTGGATCAGCACAGTGCACCAGCCGCAGTGCGCTGGCGGCGGCAGCAGCCACTGGGGGATGAACCAACGGAAAAGGAAGACCTTTCTTTCTGCCTCTCTCTCTCACTGTCCACTCTGCCTATCAAAAAAAAAAAAAAAAAAAGAAAAGAAAACTGAACTTGTTGATCAGGTTAAGCATTCCAGAGACATCAACCACTGCTGATAGTTCTCTCTGCACAGCTGTTCTTCCCCCCATTCACTCTGCACCTCAAGGCAAACTAACTGTGTTTTCTCCACCCTCAAAACCCCTCTTGAGCTCTCTGTGCTCACAGGTGGAACAGGACTGAAAGAACAGTTGGGAGCCCTTCACTCATCCTTGGCTACTCTTGAATGCCTGCTGGCATGCTGGCGTCAAGGAGCTGGTGCTGGTACATGCATCAGGTGCATGCTGGTGTGCAAGGTTTGCATCCTCTCTTCAACAATGCCTCAGGCTTTCTTTCCAATTGTGCTTTCAGTGATTCCAGTGTGTCTGACCACTCCCTATCCTTCCCCCTGTTAAGTTCCAAGGGCATGAATTGAAAACAATTTGGGGCTGTTGGTATATTCCAGCTGAGTCCCTGCTCAAGTAGGAGAGTTCTTGCCTTCAAGAAACTTAACAGTTGCATAACCATAAACACTAGCCATGTGAACTTGGGGAAAGTTGCTTAATCTCTTTGAGCTTCCTTTCTTCTGTATATTGACCATAATACTAGTGCTTGCTGCAAGAAGTATTTGCAAGAACTACCAGAGTATTTCAAACCTGGAAAAGGGAGTGAAGAGATAATCTCAATTTGGTGCAGAAATTGAAATCCACAAATAGCCTTTCCATAACGTGCATTTTTCGATAGGTATGTATTTCAATTTTTTTGCATCAAAATAAACTGATCATTTAATTTAATTTTCCACATACTTTTTGAAGCCCCCTCATGAATGACACAACTAACCTAAACTGCTTAATATCATAAACCTGGTGCATATCAAGTTTTCAATAAATATAAGCCAATACTATTATGACTATTTTGTGGACTGAAAAAGTGTCATCAGTTCTGTGTTATAAACCTGTTCAGGATACAGTAAGAATACAAAAAAGTGTTTGATTGATATTATGGGTGGAAGAGGAGCAGACAAGAGAGACTCCACAGTGGTGGTGAAAGTTAACTGAGTTCTGGGCCGGCGCCGCAGCTCACTAGGCTAATCCTCCACCTTGCAGCGCCGGCACACCAGGTTCTAGTCCCGGTCAGGGCGCCGGATTCTGTCCAGGTTGTCCCTCTTCCAGGCCAGCTCTCTGCTATGGCCCGGGAGTGCAGTGGAGAATGGCCCAAGTCCTTGGGCCCTGCACCCACATGGGAGACCAGGAGAAGCACCTGGCTCCTGGCTTCGGATCAGCGCGATGTGCCGGCCGTAACGCGCCGGCCGTGGCGGCCATTGGAGGGTGAACCAACGGCAAAAAGGAAGACCTTTCTCTCTCTCTCTCTCTCTCTCTCTCTCTCACTGTCCACTCTGCCTGTCAAAAAGAAAAAAGGAAAGTTAACTGAGTTCTGAATTTAAAGAGCTGTTTCACAGGATGGGAGGTTGGGGAAATACTGCAGGTAGAGTGATGTGGGCAAATGCAGACTCACAGCACATCCCCCTGATGGCCTGGTGTATTTTAGAAACTGTGAATGTTTTGCTAGGCTAGGGGCAGGAAGGCAAGATCCTACCATGTCTTTTGGAGACATGGCTGGAGAGGCGAGGGGAGTCAGATCATGAAGAAGAACCAGGAGGCCAGACTGAGGAATGTGGGCTGTCCTCACCCAGCATTTGATTGTTCTGGTTCACTTTAGTTCCTCCCCTAACTCAATGATAAGCACCTTTGGTAAATTCTAATGCCACATTTTAACCCACTGAACATAAAATGAGCAAATGCCGTCAGGAAACACGGAGTAGTTTGCAAACAAATTGTATTTAAAAAGAACAAAATATTAAAGACTTCTGATTTCAAGAAAAAGGGAATGAATGGGGCACTCCACCGAAGGCCATTGTGAGACTCCTGGGTGAGGCACTGCCTGACCCATCTTTAGGGATAAAACCCTGTAGAAGGCAGCCACAGCGTTCTGCATCACTGGATAGAATGCACATTCACAGTAGGCACAGTTCAGTGTCCAGTTCCACGAGCTCATCCCACCCTAAAGGATTTCAGATTTGCCCAAGTCGGTGCTGAGAAGCAGTTTAGAATAATAGCTAAAGAGCCTGGACCCCTTTCCAGCTCTGCCACTTCCTGGCTGTGATTCTGTACCACTCAGAGCCCTTATGTACTCATCTGAAAAATGAGGAAAATACTAGTACTTATCTTACGGGGTTGCTGTTAGGTTTAAATGAATGACTTGCAACAGTGTCTGACAAAGTCAGCACTCACTGGTAGCTTTGGTTGTTGCTGTTGTCTACAGAGGAAAAATGAACAACCTAGAAATCTTGGTTCATCTCTAATTCCTAATGGCAATATGAGAAAACAAGTGATTTTCTTACAGTTTTTTTTTTTTTTTTTTTGACAGGCAGAGTGGACAGTGAGAGAGACAGAGAGACAGAGAGAAAGGCCTTCCTTTTCCATTGGTTCACCCCCCAAATGGCTGCCATGGCCAGTGCGCTGCGCCAATTCAAAGCCAGGAGCCAGGTACTTCTCCTGGTCTCCCATGGGGTGCAGGGCCCAAGCACTTGGGCCATCCTCCACTGCACTCCTGGGCCACAGCAGAGAGCTGGCCTGGAAGAGGAGCCACCAGGACAGAATTCAGCGCCCTGACTGGGACTAGCCCGGTGTGCCGGCACTGCAGGTGGAGGATTAGCCAAGTGAGCCACGGCGCCGGCCATTTCTTACAGTTTTAACACATATTATTGATCCAGTGTACCCTTAACAGGAACCAAGGCCCCTCATTCAGGCCCTGGTACCCCAGGCAATTCTAGCTGCCACAAGCCATGCTCTGAATTCTCCACAACCCAAGCTGGTGGATCCCACTGACCCTCTGAGAGAGGAGGAAGGCAGGAGAGTACTGGCTCACAGGCGAACTCTGCACTAACTGGCTGGACCCCAACCCAGTCTTCACCCCAACACATTCCTTACTCTTTCTAACCCTCAAGTCCATCATCTGTTAAATTGGGCATTAGTACTGACTCATCTCATAGAGCTCTTCTGGGGTTAAATGATACAGTGCATGTAACACATTTAAAACAGTTCTTGGGGCCATGAAAGCAACTGGTAAATGTTGGCTCCTACTTTTAGCTGTCAAGCATAAGTCTTGGAGTCATTAATTTTTTTGGGCAAAGAAGAATGATGTAAAATAACATCTACCTGTCAAAGATAATTTTTTGCTGCTTTGGCCATGCTAATTCAATTTTCCAAAGGAATATGAAATTCTCACTCAGGCCATGAGATCATCATGGCTTGAGAAAGGATGCATGCTGATGAATTTTTACCAGTGGTCTTCAGCTGTGTCATTTAATTCACATGCCACAGTATATGTTTTAAAAATATATCTTCCCGCCGGCGCTGCGGCTCACTAGGCTGATCCTCCACCTGCGGTGCCGGCACACCGGGTTCTAGTCCCAGTCGGGGTACCCGATTCTGTCCCGGTCTCTCCTCTTCCTGTCCAGCTCTCTGCTGTGGCCCAGGAGTGCAGTGGAGGATGGCCCAAGTGCTTGGGCCCTGCACCCCATGGGAGACCAGGAGAAGCACCTGGCTCCTGCCTTTGGATCAGCGTGGTGCGCCGGCTGCAGCACGCCAGCCACGGCGGCCATTGGAGAGTGAACCAACGGCAAAAGGAAGACCTTTCTCTCTGTCTCTCTCTCACTGTCCACTCTGCCTGTCTATATATATATATATATATATATATATATATATATCTTCCCAGGCTAGTGCTGTGGCATAGTGGGTAAAGCTGCTGCCTGCAGTGCCAGCATCCCATATGAGCACTTGTTTGAGTCCTGGCCACTTCACTTCCAATCCAGCTCTCTGCTGTGCCCTGGGAAAGCAGTGGAAGATGGCCCCTGCACCTGAGTGGAATACCCATAGGAAGTTCCTGGCTTCGGATCAGTACAGCTCCGGCCATTGCGGCCATCCACGGAGTGAGCCAGCAGATGGAACATTCTCTCTCTCTCTCTCCCTCTCCCTCTCTCTCTCTCTCTGCTTCTGCCTCTCTGTAACTATGCCTTTCAAATAAATAAATACTTAAATATATATATACATATATATATATATCTTCCCTTTAATAACTGCATAGAAAATATCTTGCTACAGTGGAAATCATGCAATCACAGAGTTGTAGAAGGTGAGAGGTACAGGTACCTGGTCTAATCTCTCCTTACCTTGAGACTGCTGACCTCAATCTGTCTGCATTCTGTACTTGACTGTTGTCCCCAGAAGCTCCTGGTTTCTGGAACACCTAGGATGGTCACTACTTAAACGTCCAGCAGCTAAGCCACACCATCCACCTCTCTTTCTGTTCCTCCTGTCAGGCCCACCACACTAATGGTGGTCACCCACACACACCACTGGACATGCTCT